AGGTCCCGATGACTAATGACTAAGGCAGACCCCTCCAAAAATGTTCTCAAACACTATCATCGATATATTTGCGTTGTGCGTAAAACCCGCTATCGGTGCGCTTGGATCATTTGGAAAGGGGTTTTCTAAAAGTAGCCGGTAGCGTCGTTGCGCAGTTGAGTGCACAAAACGCATTCAGTGATGATAAAGACACAGAGAAACTTGTAAACATGTAGAAAAGTCTCCCCAGGAACATAGGAATCATTCTGTATGATCTGACTCGTCGGTGAACCAGGTGCTTCTACACAAATCCTGTGGGTCAGGCGCTAATCTGCGGGATTGTTCTTGGCTGCACGTGCACGTTTTTGTCTGTCACTGACATCAACAGCAGCGGTTTAACTGTGCAGAGCTCTGTCCAGACGTGCTTTCAGCGCACCCATACACTGTCATATCAAACTTACCGTGAGCACTGTCACTGTTCTGTCTCGCTCTCTCTCCAGTTTGCTTGAATATGAAAGTATTCGGTTATTCAAGTTTACAGTGGAAGACCTGCGTTTCGTAAAGTCAATCTTTAATGTCATATCCTTTTCTCTACATTTGATCTCAGGTTTCCTTTAGGGAGTTATGAAAATACACTTTGAAAAGTTGGCCTTTGCAATCAAATACGCAGCTAATGTTTAAGAAAAAATACAATAAATCTTATCAGTGATTTTGAAGTTCTCTCTATCATAAAGAATTAAGTTTTTTTTACTAGACATTTCAGTCACCTCTTGTTCTGTAACAAAATGCCGAACTGCAGTGACAAATTTTATATTTGGTTTTGTTCTACCGATGGATTTCCTTATTTTCTTTGTTCATAGTAGAATTTGAGATAGCATTTGGACCTCAATGTCAGATATCAAAAACGTCAAGAAAAGGAAAGTTAATAAAATAAAATATGAACATTTAAATGTTTAATAAAATGTCTTATGAGTGAGTGTAGGTTATAAGAATGTTATCTCTATTAACCCACATCGTCTGTCTAACACTCATTTAAGGAGTGACCCCGAGATGATCCCCTTTGCTGTACCTTCAGATACAGTATTTGTTTCGATTTGGTCCATGACTGCAGACTGGCTGTTTCTTAAAGATGAACACCAGCATGTGTTCTGATAGCCTAATGTTAAAGTCTCTGTGAGATCTAATGCTGAATGTGGGAAAACATGTACCATTTCAGAATCCAGTATTATATTCTGGTTTCTGGAGTAGTGCACACACTTTGGCCAAGATCAGGCTTTATTCAGCTTCTGTGACTCAACAAAAAACGGCTCGTGAATACACATTGTACACATATGTACACATACTGTGCCCATGCTGTATGTACATGCTGCTGTAATGGGGTACGCGCTATGCAGCAGCACAAACCACTAGGGGGCGATGTCAGTCCACATAGAGCCCGGTATCCCTGCTGGTTGCTCACCCTGTCAGACCTCCACACACAGTGCCCCTACAAGACCGGGTCAACCACATGGATGGAGGAACTGTCACAGTGAATAATGTATCCTAGGCTAATTTAGTGGTAGGCAAATTTCTACAAATTTCTAACACATTGGAGGCTAATCGAATTATGTAGGAGCATATGGGGTAAGCCCTGGGCTGTGGGCCACTGGGCAGTTTGCCCGATCGGTGATTCACGCTTGGATTTAGAGGCACATCATCTCGTTTCAGCAGTTACACATAGATCTCAGGGGTAGGTTGGTTGGGGAGGGGCGAAGGATGCATATCTCGATTCAATTGGATAATATTTGAGTCAATCGAAATGTCTTGTCTGTGATTTGCTGTCATCCTTAAAGCCTCGGAAGTGTCATTTTTGGACTCGAGCAATAGCTCAGTACTTCGAGTGGTGGTGTGGCGGCGGCTTCGAGCTGATTCACGACTTTCGGGACGAAATGGCCACCAGAAAGCTTTAAAACAGGTACGTTTGACAACTTTTCTTTATATATAAGAGGGCTTTTCAATTCACCCATTGTTTTTGTTGTCGTTAACGTGTTTTGTATTTGCTCTCCCAAGCATAATCTGAGTTTCATTGTCTTTTGAACCAGTACCCACTTTCCTCTGACCTGTATATTAACGTTATTGAGATAAGTTAACGACAAACTCTATTGTCTCACTAACGGGCAAATGGCGCCTATCATGAAGCAAATCTCCACTACCCAAGTAGCGCCTTTTCATTCTCATATAGCTGCTACAACTTTGTGCAAGTTTGTCTGTTTCTATCGTTATCTTCTTTCACCTAAGTACACCGCTACGAGCAGCGCGAAACATATGTAAATGTTGGTTGTCATGGATTGAGGTGTTGTTTGGTGAAATATTTCTAAGACGAATTTACCTAAATACATTATTTATTTAGGAAAACTGATTTGTTGTTGTTACTATTATGTATCAAATTTGCTGACGCAGTGCCAATTTACAAATAGTTAACTTCCTAAGGGAGTTTGGGGGGGGGAGTGCTCTCCAAACACCAGATGAAGTTGAGATGATCGTGGCCGGACACATCGACTTTCCTCCTCGTGACATTCCAAGGCGAAAATAGGATAAATTGCATAACGTGCATTATGTTAATTATACTTATGTATTTTACATTCTTTAAGTGCTACAGAAGACCTCAGAGGAGCCCAGTTAATGCGTGTGGGCGGAGGTTTAGTGTGACGAAAATAACTTGAAAATACGGAAGTAGTTTTGAGCGAGTTCAGACTTGTCAGATGCCAACTGCTGTCTCATTTTGTTAGTGGTCTGCTCAGATACTAATAATATGGGTTTGCACTTGAGTTCCTTTCATAACTTTCCTCTTAGTCAGAACATGTGCAGCCTTCCAGATGGAAATGCATGCAGCCTCTTTATGACATTTATTGAAAGATGACTCCTGTAAAATTTAAATTGGGTGTATACAACTTTGAAACATTCAACAGCAACTTAACCCTTCTTAATTTTATTACATTTTTTAGCACTGTCAGAAAATTAATAAATTGCCTAATATTATAACAATTGAATAATAATTTTGGTCGTTTTTTTAAAGCTAACATACCAAACATTTGGTGGCTGCAACATTTCATATGTGAGAATTTGGTGCTTTTGTATCATATGTGTTGTAAACTGAATATCTTTGGTTGGGACTGTTTGCACTATGATTATATAAAATGACATTTCTGAAGAAGATACCTTGGATTCTAGGAAAATGTAATGGGATTTTTTCTTAAATTTAAACAAACAATTAATAAAGCAATTTAAAATTGGTAAGTGATGAATATGATCATTAGTTGCAGCCCTGTTATTATTCTGACCTTTGTCAAGGCTTTTCCCCTCAGGCAGGTCTTGGTAGTGTGTGCCACACTACACTTTTAGGAAGCACACATTTCTGGCACAGTAAACAGTCTGAGAGACCCGTGAAAGCGGGACAGTAGGACATTTTCCCATGCAGGCTGACCTAAATACTCCAAGAAGCACACTGCTGAATGCATTCTCTGGCTGCATAATTACATCAAATGCATAAAAGAAATAAAGACAGAAGGAGACTTCTGTAAGTTTGTTTCTAGCCACACCTATATGAAAAGACAAGGAATTTTTTGTGTTATAGGAAAACCAGCTTGATGTTTGCTTTGCTAATTGCCCAGTCTTCACTTAGTCTTTAGTAGATTTTCGGAGAGAACAATAGATTATAAACTACAGGATTAAAGAGAGAGGGAGGGCCGCCACCCTTTGTAGAGGATGACAAAGAAAAGCAACCTCTATGTTGTGGGTGGCTGTTAATGGTTGGATTGAGTGTGTGCTGTTTTTTGTTAGAGGGGAGGACCAATGTTAGTGGTGCGTGTTCATGTCAGAGTGAGTGAACAAGTACATCTCAAGCTCTACATTTGCATTCATGTGTGTAGAAATGTAGATACTGTGCTTTTGTTAGTTATAATATTCAGTAGTGTTTAGTAGATCAGTTTATTGCTTGTGTGTTCATGTGCTGGTTCCAGCTTCTTAAATGTAAGAATCTTTAGTATATTACTTGTGTGGTGTAGAAGATAATTATTTAAGAATGTAATTATGCAAGAATGTTAACTGTTATAATCTAAGTGTGGACATAAAAATAGTAATAGAATTGATGAGTTTAAACATAAATATAAAGATATGTGTCAATCAAGATATATGCAAGAACAGGCTCAATGATTAATTACATGGACAATTGTGGGTGTGGTGTACATTTTGTAATAATTCTTTAGTATATTACTTGTGTGGTGTAGAAGATAATTATTTAAGAATGTAATTATGTAAGAATGTTAACACTGTTATATTCTTTTTTAGTATAATATGTGTATGGGTAGAAGTGAATCATTTACTGCTTGCAAACCAATGATGGTAAGATGATGTCATGGGGTAGGACTGGATAAGTCTGACTTCTTCCTACTCCATTCAAGCATGTACTAGGTATAAGCAAATTGATATTGGATTATGTCTATGTGTGTTGTCATATCAACAATTTTTACATGCTTGAAAGAATAAATCAAATCAAATCAAATCTGTCTTGTGATCAGTGGGGCTGTTAAAAGCTGTTTATTCCAAGTAAATGTTATAATATGGCAACTAAATGTATTCATTATTTAGATAATTGTTTTTATAGACCTGTATTTTCCAGAGTTTGCCTTAACTCTTTTTGCCTTAATGTTGCAAGCTACATTTACCATATAGAGTACTGTAAGAGGCTCCCCTGAGCCTCATAATGATACTGTATGTAGAGAAGCATGACTTCTGTCAGCCGCTTCCTCTTTAGATGCTGTAAACGAAACAAAGCTGGCCACAGCAGTTAGTATCACTATTTTCAGCTACGAGGATGGCTAAGCTGACAAAAAGATTGATTTCATAGAGAACTTGATCCACGTGCTGTGTGTGATCACAGGGTTTTAGTCCAGTACATCAATGACTGATGTGTTTTCATCAGAAGGGATTAACTGTCATCAATTTGACTGTAAAAGGCCATTACCGACCTAATGGAGGACATAACAAGTGCTATGGATGAGAAGAAATACACGATGGGGATATTTATCGACCTAAAAAAAGCATTTGACACAATCAATCATGAATTATTAATGGACAAGTTGGAAAAATATGGGATCAGAGTAATGGCTCTGAAATGGATTAGAAGTTATTTGACACAGAGGCGTCAATTTGTGAAGTTGGGTGAATACCAATCGAGTGAGCTGGATATTGTATGTGGAGTGCCTCAGGGTTCTGTTTTGGGACCTAAATTATTTATATTATACATTAACGATATATGCAAGGTTTCTGATTTAGTGAAAGTGGTTTTGTTTGCTGATGACACTACCATATGGGCATCGGGTGAAAACCTACAGCAACTCTCTGGACGGGTTACACAGGAACTTGAGAAGATAAAGAAATGGTGTGACAGTAATATAGTATCTCTGAATTTGGATAAAACAAAATTTATGGTATTTGGGAATCGCAGACTAGACAATGAACTTCAATTGAAAATTGGGGGAGCTAATATCAAACGAGTACATGAAATTAAATTTCTAGGTGTCATAATTGATGACAAATTCTCCTGGAAATCGCATATTAGATATGTTCAGAATAAAATA